TGCCGGCACCCTCCTGGACACTCTCGGCGGTGGCCTGGGGCTTCCCCCGCCTTACTGCAAAATGGTGGAGGGTTTGCCCCTCCCTGCGCCGTTCCCCACCAGCAGCTCCAATCGTCCGGCTGGCCAGAGCACTTCCAGGTTCCATTTGGTGCCAGACTATCAGGAGTGCCAGACCACTGGACGCCAGACAATTGGAGTTTTACTGTAGTTTGTTTATGAATCCCTGTACAAATCTGAGCGGGGGAGCTTCAGACCTTTTGCTTCCCCCCCTTCCCCCCCCCCAAAAAAACCCCTAAACCCTTATTTTGGTTTAAGTCGGGGTGGGCAAAAGGGACTCTGTGGGTCGAATCCGACCCGCCAAGTGAGTTGATTCAGCCCATGGAGGCCCTGCTGCTCTCCTCACCCCGAGGCCAATCAGAGCTTAGAGGCAGGGGGAGCACATGAAGTCACCTCCTGCCCTGTAAAGGGTTCAGCACTAGGTCACCTGCCAGCTGCTGCTCAGTTGGCAGTTAACTCTAAGTGCGGTACTCCCTTGCAGGGAGCAAGAGACTTTAATTGCTCCCCCTCCCCAGGCCCTGATTGACCTGTAGTCAGCAGTGGGAGCACGTGAAGTCTCCCACCGCCAGGGGCACAGGTACCTAGAGGGAATAGCCAGCTGTTCAGAAAAGCTGGCAGTTCTCTCGGGGGGAGGAACAAAGACTTTGCCTGCTCCCCCATCCCCAGGCCAATCAGGGTCTGTGGGTGGGGAAGCATGGAAGTGTCCTGGCCCCGCCCCTTCTGCTTGAGGCCTTGCACCTTCCAGGGTGGCCCAGGGATACTTTAACAATTTCTGAAGTGGCCCCTGGTCAAAAATTATTTCCCACCCTGGTGTAAGTTGTGATAAAAGGAAGCTGCATACCAAATTTGGTGGTTCTAGTCCCTACCATTTAGGAGGAGCTCTTGAACAAACAGTTGGACAGACAGGCTCACTTGCTCACGTACCAATTATCAAATATATAGTAATTTTTTTTTTTTTAATCCAGTTACTTTTGCCTGTCATAGTATCCCATGGCAATAGGTTCCATAGGTTTACTGTGGGTTGTTTAAGTACTTCCTTGTGTTTGCTGCCTATTAATTTCATTTGGTGACCTCTGGTTCTTGTGATTAAAGGGCATTTTGCAATGGGGTGACCAGAATTGCATGCAGTATTCAAGGTGTGGTAGTACTTTTGGATTTATATAGTAGTAATATGATATTTTCTGTCTTATTAGTTATCCATTTTTTAATGTTCTGTTAGTTTTTGACTGCTGCTGCATATTGAGCAGATGTTTTCAGACAACTTTTCATAATGACTCCAAGATCTGTCATGCATAGTAACAGCTAACTTAGACCCCATTGTTTTGTATGTGTAGTTGAGATTCATGTTTTCCATGGAGCTTTACTTTGATCTTATAACATCATATTCTATCTGCCGTTTTTGTTGCCTAGTCAGTCAGTTTTATGAGATGCCTTTGTAACTCTTCACAGTTTACTTTGGATTTAACTGTCTTGAGCCACTGTCATTTGATCAGTGTCTAAAAATACCTACTATGTTACAAGAGAATTTTAACAGAAATCTCTTTAATCTAGCATAACAGGATCCAATGGCTGGAAAGTGAAGCTAGATAAATTCACCTTAAGTTAAGGTGAACATTTTTAATAGTGAGAATAATAAACCACTAGAACAGCTTACTTATTGGATAGTTGACTATTTGCTTACATCCCTAGTAGATATGTGTGTGTACGTATATACACACTCTCTCTCTCTCTCTCTCTCTCTCTCTCTCTCTCTCTCTCTCTTTTTTCTTACATTGGTGTTTTCTTGCATGTCTGTATATACGCCTTTTAACGGTTTGTAATTTTACTGCAGTTAAAGGAGACCCTGGAACAATCCATAGGCCAATTAAGGAGTCAACGATTGTCCAGAAATTCTGGGATGAGGAGTGCCTCTCTTTCAAGTTTGTACACAAGTGACTTGGATGTTGAAGCAGCCACAGGTACATGTTAAGAAGTTCTAGTATGTCTCTGCATTGTAACCTTGCTTTAAGGCTAGAGAGTGAATTTACATTAGAGTAGACCTATGTTTGTTTTTATTTAAACCATGACTTCAGAGAAAAGTTTGGGCCTATGCAGGGCTAGTAGTAAGTGCTATATGTCTCATTGGGAATTTGGGAGTCTTCCTTTAATATTAATCTCTTTTTTCCCCTGAGAGTGTTCTGAAATATTGGGCTTCAATATTGTGATATTTTTATGTATAGGAAAAGATGATATTGGCCCATTATTAAATTTTTATTTTCCTAGGCCTGGGCAGGTATAATTTTGGGCCAAATCTACATTTTTTGGAAGACAAATATTTCTTTAGGAGGCTCATTTTTAAAGAAACAAAACTGATTGAAATGTTGGACTAAATCCCATCTGAGCAGATATGTTGATGAGCAGATAGATGTTTGGAGGGGACAGTCGAGTGATGAAATGCAAAGCATGCAAGAAATGTATTGGTTGTAAAATTTATCACGTTTCTTTGACTGGTCATATTCCTATATGTATGCCTGAGAGTATATTTAAAATTTTTCCTTTTCTGCAGTTTTGTTTTTCTATGTATTTTTTTTTTTACCTTATTTCATAAAGGGAGTCGCCATTTTCAGCCTACATCTCCTCTCAGGGATTATGGAAACTCACAGAACACTAGACGTCGCAGATCTAGATCTGCTAATGTCCGGTTTGTCAATGGGGCCGATGAGGTGATGCTCACATTTTAACTTTCCACACCTTAAATTCTGATATTCTCTGCCATGTTCACATTGTCAGCATTCACGTTCCCTATGTGTACCTTGCCATATCTTTCCATATTTCTTAGGATGTGACTGAAATGTAGTGATAATTCTACAGTCTTTTAAATTCATATACATCCAAACTTGTTTATAAATAGTGTTTTTTCAGTAGATTTACTTCCTCTCCCCCAGAGCTTAGCTGTTTCCTACTCCACTATGCTGCTCTCCACTGTAACTGTGGAGAGTAGAGAATTAAAGTAAAATTTACCTTTTTAAAACTTGTAATACAAGTGACTCAGATTTTAATTTCTCCACTTGCCCAGAAATGCTGATTGAGTTGGAGCAAGGAAACCTGGAGTGGATTGTGAAAGTAACAGACAGTTGAAATCAACATCCTCTAAAGCACTATTGCATCCTTGTTACCTCATTTTTACTTGCACAGCTGAGAGGTGTCATGTTATTTTAAATACATGTTGTGATATGGTTGCTAGGAGAGAAGCTTTAGTGTTAACTAGCTCTCCTGCCTAATCTAGCTATGCACTATGAGTAAATTTTAAATTACATATGAAATTATATTGTTGTAGTATTTAGAACCAGAAGCAGACCATAGGATCCCCAAGTCTGCAATTGTTTGTCAGCTTTAACTTATTTAAACTGTTTCATTTAAATCTCTTTCTGTCTCTATTTTCCTATGCGACAACAGAGTGACATCCATATGTCACTCATGTCGCCCCGTCCCCAGCTCCAAGCCATGATCTCCACCCCCCCCTGCTCCTGGGGCAATTAGATGCCCCAGACCCTGCTGGCCCAGTGTAGACATCAGCCTTAGCCATGGCCGGGCTTCCCTCCCCAGTAGCAGGCCTGGGGCTGTCTGCTGGCCAATGAATCAAGCCCAGGACTCAGCCTTCTCTGGCCACTGGGGGGCAGGGAGGGTTAGGGTTAGGCCTCGGGGGTAGGAGAACCAGGGCTGGTGCAGCCTGGATCAGGGTGGGCATGGCCAGGGGAGGAGGGGGAAGAGCCAGGGCTGGTGCGGCCTTAGCCCAGCCTACCCTGGTGGCCAGGGGGAGAGATGGGGTTGCCTACTGGGGGCAGGAAGTGTTGGCGAGCATAGTGAGCAGGGGACCCAGCCCGCTAGTGTTTGTTTAAAAAGTTATGAAATGTTTTTCCTTTAGAAATAACTCTGAAGAAAGATATTTGATACTTTTCAGCTTAATTTGTGTGCTTTCATTTGCAGTTGCATTCTGTACACCAGTCCCTTCGAGACCTTAGTAGTGAACAGGTTCGTCTAGGAGATGATATCAGCAGGGAGCTTTCAAGAAGAAACCGGTATAAGTAGTGTCTATTTCCATATGGGGCAGAAAAGATGAGCTGTTGAAGAATAAATTAGCAACTGTAGTTTTTGAGATTTTTATAAATATAGAAATTAACTTTTAGTTCAATCATGTTTAATAATAAAATAAAATATAAAAAACAATCACAGAAGTAGAAAATGAACAATATGTAAGCATCCCAGGATAATTTTAAAAGGAAGAGTATTTTACAACTTCCTTACAAAATGTAGAGGAAGGAAAACCTGCATGATAAATTATGTAAATCACATGATCTTCATATTCAGTTCTATAATAAATATGATCCTTGTCAAAGGTAGTGTCTTCCATTGTCTACTGAAATGGGCTAGGAGTTAGGAATTATTTGTTCTATTCACAACTCTTCCACCTGTAAATTGTAATTAGGATCTGATCGGTAGCTCCCTGAAGTCAATGGAAAGATGACCATTGACTTCCACGAGCTTTGACTGAAGCAATTAAGGTTTTTTGTAGCATCAAAAATGTAGGTGGACCTTACATTTTCTGTGCTTCAGCTTATTGTTCTGCAAAATGGGCATAATCTGCAAAAGGGATAGCAAGGATTAATTTAATATTTGCAAAGTTCTGTCCAATCTGCAAATGAATGACAAAGCAAATATTTTCACTATCTTATTGCAAATACATGGGCAGCTAAAACTCTGGAATATGACTTTCTCACTACATAGAATAACTACTATGTAATGGCTGTATCCTCATTAAACTCTGAATACTAAAGCAAAATTATGACTGAAAATAAATAACTTGAAATGATTTACATTCAGGATTCTGCTGTTTATTTTTACATGTATAAATATAAAATGTATGACTGAGAAGGGTGGCATTTTTTTCAAATTAGTTCCCCATTATCTGCTCCCAGTGTGTGGATACATTTTAGTATAAGGTTTTGCCATTTGAGTATAACCTCTGCTTCATCTGGAAGTTTTCAGACAGAAAAGATCTGTTTTTAAAACTGCCCTAACATTCAGTCATGGCTTAAAATCTAAAATAAATAATTGCTTCTGAAAGTGCATATAGTTGCTGCTCAGTTTGTTAACCAAGACTAATAAAATTTAAAATTAATCTATATCTCTTTCTTCTAAGGACTGATGCAGAAACCAAAAAGATCTTGGCAGACTTGTCTGCAAAGCTCACGGAACCCCAAAGACAGGAAACTGTGAGTGTTTTGAACTATCTTTTCAGGATAGCTAACTGGGTTGGGAAGGAAGGAGAACTAGTGTATTATGTAGATACAAAACTGGAACTCTTTGGTCCAGCAACATCCGTGGTCCAGCAGGTAGGGTGGTCTGATAGCAAGGCCGGGTGCATGGCAGGGGGGGGTCTCGCAGTGCAGTGGGGAGCTTTGGCCCCGGCCCCAGCAGCAGTTGTGGTTCTTCGAGAGATGTCCTTGGGGGTACTCTAAAGCAGATGTAGGTGTGTCCCAGTGCCACAGAGCGGATTCTTCATAGCAGTGCATTGGGGTTGTGCATGCGCGGCGCACAGCTGTTTCTGACACCATCATGCACGCGTGTGCGGCCATCTTCCCTTCAGTTCCTTCATATCGTCTCCGGCTCAAGACAGACCTCTGCAGTGCTCTTCAGTTCTCATTAGTTCTTGCACATAGATAGATTAGTTAACTCCAACTTCTTCTCCCTAGTTGTTTGTCAGGTTCTTGGAGGGCGAGGGGGAAGGGAAATAAAAAAGCCATTTGCCTCAGTTGACTTCTCCTGCTGCTTTAAGATCACCCGGAGTGATGGGCTCACTGGGGATTAAACACTGGACAAACTTTAGGCACTTTGCACCGGTCCTCTTCACTCTAAGGATATGTCTACGCAGCAAAGTTATTTCGAAGTAACAACCCTTATTTCTAAATGCATTTTGTGTGTAGATGTGTTATTTTGAATTAACTATTTCGAAATAATACTGTAGTACAGACATACCGTAGGCGAATAGCAAAGGCTGTACTACAGACAGCTTACTTGCCTGATCTGAAGTCCCTACCTCCATAGCACAAAATGCTTTGTTGTCACCTGCTGTGGAGTATCCCCAGGGGCGTGTCTCTCTCTCTTTCTCGAAGAGGAGGTTATTCACCTTGGCTGTAACTGACATTCTTCGAGATGAGCATCCCTGAGGCTGCTCCATTACCCTCCCTTACTCCCCTCTACTTTGGACCCAAAAAACCCACGAGGTTTTTCACCAGGCTGGGTTCCAGATAGAGAGGGAACTGAAGGGAGGGTGGCCATGCATGTGCAATGGTGCTGGGGGGAGCCATGAGCTTTACATGTTGCGCATGCGTGGCCCCCATGCACTGCTATGAAGAATCCGCTCTGCAGTTCTGGAACGCACCTACTGTGGAGCACCCTCAGAGACGCTCATCTCGAAGAATGTCCGTTACAGCGAAGGTGAGTAACCTCCTTGTCTGGGGGCACAGTAGAGAGCTCCAGCTCTGGTAATAGGGAGTTGACCCAGTAATAGAGGAGCTGGTGCTAGAGTCCAGCGGTAGTGTGTCCAGAGCCCAAGCCTGGGGGCAGCAGGGACGGGGCAGGCTAGAAGCAGCGGGCAGTACGGAGGGGATGGGGGCTGGAAGGCCAATGACAGGAGACCTCCGCTGGTCCAGCAAATCCCCTTGTTCGGGACTGGTCAGGTTCTGAGGGTGCCGGGTTAGGGAGGTCCAGTCTGTACAGTGGTGGGGAACCTCAGATGTAGCCCCTGAGGCTTGCCTGGATCTGGTCCCTGAGGCTCATTTTCTCCCCCTGCCAGCATTGAGAAGCCCATGCTAGCACTCTATCCCCCTCCCCTGTTGCCTCACTGTGGGACAGGAGCACACAGTATCTATTAGACTGGCTCCTTCCTCCCCCCAACTCAGGAATGCGAGGGGAATGTGGTAAGTGTCTTTCTCCTTCTCAGTCAGGGGCCACATCAGCAAGGGTAGGTTTTTTTGTGTTTGTGGGATTTTTCTTTTTTTTGTTTTGTTTTTGTTTCTGTTTTGTGCGGCTTGTGATTTTTCTGTAGGTCAATGGCCCCTCACCCAAAAAAGTTTTCCTACCCCAGTAGTTGTTGCTAGTTTAACATGCGTCTTGCCAATCAACTTAACACCTGCTTACTAATTTGTCCTTAAAACCTGGTAAAATCCGGGCCAATGTGCTTGAATGCTTTCACTGTTGAGCGATAATGTAATATTTGATCCCTCAGATCCTTGCAAGTTACACTAAATGGGGGCATTGTACAGTTGTTTTGGGGGTATTTTTTCTTTGAATTCATAATAAATTATCAGGAAGAAAGCTGTCAGTGATGTAGTTAGAACATTAGTTGATGCATTTTTTAGCAAACAAGATATTCTTCTAAAGCAGTGTTTCCCAAAATGGTATGCGAAACCACTTTGAGAAACATGCTAACTGGCTGCGTCGGTTTGTTTACTTACCAGCATTGTGGCTACAGAGCTGCGCGACTCCCATTGGCTCCAGTTCACCGTTTGCAGCCAAGGGGAGCTGTGAGCAGCCTGGGCCATGCCACTTCCGTTTACTACAGCTCCCATTGGCTGCAAATGGCAAACCAGAGCCAATGGGAGCCGCGAGGTTCTGTGATGGCGGTGCTGGTAAATAAACAAACCAGCATGGCTAGTTAGTGGTCTGTGAAACCACTTTGAGAAACACTGCTGGGGAATCATAGAATCCTAGGGCTGGAAGAGACCTTAGGAGGTCATTGAATCCAGCTCCCTGCCCAAAGCAGGACCAACCCCAACAGAATCATCCCAGCAAGGGCTTTGTCAAGCTGGGACTTAATAACTTCTAGAAATGGAGATTCCACAACCTCCCTAGGTAACCCATTCTAGTATTTCACCACCCTCCTAGTGAAAAAGTTTTTCCTAATATCCAACCTAGACCTCCCCCATTGTAACTTGAGATCATTGCTCCTTGCTCTGCCATTCGTCACTACTGAGAACAGCCTCCCTCCATCCTCTTTGGAGCCTTCCTTCAGGAAGTTTAAATCTGCTATCAGGTCCCCCCTCACTCTTCTCTTCTGCAAGCTATATAATCTCCGATCCCTCAGCCTCTCCTCATAGGTCATGTGCTCCAGCTCCCTAATCATTTTGGTTGCCCTCTTCTGGACCCTCTCCAATGTGTCCACATCCTTTCTATAGTGGGGAGAGGAAGGGGAGCGAGGGCCCAGGACTGGACTCAATACTCCAGATGTGGCCTCACCAGTGCTGAATAAAGGGGAATAATAACTTCTCTAGATCTGTTGGAAATGCTCCTCCTAATGCACCCTAATATGCCATTATCCTTCTTGATTACAAGGGCACACTGTTGACTCCTATGCGGCTTCTCATCCACTGTAGTCTCTAGGTCCTGTTCTGCTGAACTGCTACTTAGCCATTCAGTCCCCAGCCTGTAACAATGCTTGGGATTCTTCTGTCCCAAGTGCAGGACTCTGCACTTGTCCTTGTTAAACCTCATCACATTTCTTTTGGCCTAATCCTCCATTTTGTCTAGGTCATTCTGGACCTTATCCTTGCCCTCCAACGTCTCTACCTCTCCCTCTAGCTTAGTGTCATCCGCAGACATGCTGAGGGTGCAATCCATCCCCTCATCTAGGTCATTAATAAAGATGTTGAACAAAACTGGCCCTCGAACTGATTCTTGGGGCACTCCACTTGAAACTGACCCCCAACGAGACATCAAGCCGTTGACCACTACCTGCTGGGCCTGACAATCTAGACAGCTTTCTATCCACCTTACAGTCCATTTATCCAATCCATACTTTCTTAACTTGCTGGCAAGAATATTGTGGGAGACCATATGAAAAGCTTTGCTAAAGTCAAGGGATATCACATCCACTGACTTCCCCATGTCCACAGATCCAGTTACCCCATCATAAAAGCTAATCAGATTGGTCAGGCATGATTTGCCCTTTGTAAATCTATGTTGATGATTCCTGGTCACTTCCCCTCTTCTAAGTGCTTCAAGTACTGTAAAGGTCTAAAAATAAATTATTGTAATTAAAAGTACATTTTCCTTGCTTCAGAGTCAACTTGTGTGTCTGTTACCCCTTTTGACTGAGCTGTCTTTTCAAAATAATAATTTAGTATACTTAGAATATTGCTGTAATAAGGATTTTATGCATGATAGTATGTAGTAATAAATAATACTGCAGAGGTATAACATCATAGTGAAACTGACAGTTTATTATCTGCCTTGATACTGCCCAAATAAATGTGATATAAAAGCATGATAAACTTGATTGTGAGGGGTGAAAATGAATTTTTTTAGCTTATTGCGGTTGGATCACAACTTAAATAAATCTAAAAACGTCTGGTTTGTGGAAGAGTTTGTCATTAGCAGTGCCTTAAGATTTTTTTTATGTCAGTTCCTTGTTATCAAGGATAACAAAATTATTCAACATAGTATAACAACATGAAATTCAGCATCCATTTATTTAAATGGATTTTGAATCAGTAGGCATTAACAGAAAGTAATGAATGTACTGAGAAAGTGCCAGCCGAAAATCCAAATAAAAGAATGGTACTTTTGGTAGATTATTCCTGTAAAAGGGATGTATTCTCTATATTTAGATGCATGACATTAAATGCCGTCTTGATAACAACAGTAGATCTTTCTTCACCTCTACTTTTTATAGTTCATCTTGATAACAACATCAATGATGTAGATATTGGGATAGAGAGTACGCTTATTAAGTTTGCGGATGATACCAAACTGGGTGGGGTTGCGACTTCTTTGGAGGATAGGGACATAATTCAGAATGACCTTAGCAAGTTAGAGAAATGGTCGGAGGTAAACAGGATGAGGTTTAATAGAGAGAAATGCAAAGTGCTCCACTTAGGAAGGAACAATCAGTTCCATACATACAAGATGGGAAGCGACTGTCTAGGAAGGAGCATGGCGGAAAGGGATCTAGGGGTCATAGTGGACCACAAGTTGAATATGAGTCAACAGTGTGATGCTGTTGCAAAAAAAGCAAATATGATTCTAGGTTGTATTAACAGGTGTGTTGTAAGCAAAACTCGTGAAGTCATTCTGCCGCTCTACTCTGCGCTAGTTAGGCCTCAGCTGGAGTACTGTGTCCAGTTCTGGGCGCCACATTTCAAGAAAGATGTGGAGAAATTGGAAAGGGTACAGAGAAGAGCGACAAGAATGATTAAAGGTCTAGAGAAGCCTA